ACACCCTCCATTGTTGAGTCCAGTGAACAAGCTACCAACAGCATCACCGAATTTTTGTTCGATCCTGCAGCTAACCTAACCTTTGAATCCTGGTTCAAACGGTACGAATACTTATTTCGCGGCGAGTTTGCTAATCTTTACGACGCATGAAAACTTCGCCTGCTCCGCATGTTTGGTTCCGCCGAACAAGACATCTATTTCAATTGTATCTTACAACTGAACCCACGCGATCGGTCATTTGACGTGGCAGTGTAACCACCTACACAAATGTTGGATGAGAATTCATCCATTTTCAACATTCGTTACCAGTGTGTCATATTTGTGAAACGTAACGTGGACGATTTTGTAACATACGCCAGCGTGTTTACTCACGAATGTGAACGATTCAAACTACGCTCTCTCACGGACTGTCAGTTTAAGTATCCCGGGTTCATACGCGGTCTTAACTCGTCAAAGGATGCCGGTATGCGTAGGCCACTTTTAAGCGATATTGAGTTTTTCCATCAGATGATGTTGCAGAGTGTCACTTCCGCATGCCAACACCTGATTAATCGGAAACACGATGCGACCACTGTCCAAAACATTGACCGCCGTCAGTTCCATGCACTCTCGAAGGATGTGTCCTCATGATGGCGCATCCTACCGGCCCTCCACGGTGTCAAGGCACCACTGAATAACTTGCTCAAAAAGACAGTTAGGTCGTGATCACCAGAATGCAAACGTACATTCAACCACCTGTAAAAGATGCTTGGTTCCGACCTTCTAACACATTTCGATCCCAACTTACCGGACGCGGTCGCTGCAAATGCTTCAAGCCAAGGCGTCGGCACCATCATATCCCACGTGTTTCCAGATGCATCGGATAAGTAGTCATGCATGCTGCTCATGCGGTTATGTCAACCGAGAGGAATTATGCTCAAATCGAAGAAGTAGCTGGCGCTATTGTCCCCTTTGAGGAATTTCCACAGCATGATCTACGGTCATCACTTCTGCTTGATGACCAATTACAACCCAGCTGTTTGTGACTGTGTTGCTGACAACCTGAATGTTTACTTAGGAAATTGAGGTTATCCACTAGGTATCTTTTCTCTCCTTAGGATACTGTGGTTGTACAGCAGCGATGCATCAGTTCACATGGCTGATCTACTGTTCTTGACGATGATGATGATGACAACAGGCTTTTTCACTCCCACTTGTCCTTCCACTACCAGCCAAACTTGTACGATTGTTATTAGAGGTGATGCGTGCATTGTACTGGGCTCAGAAAATATACTGCGACATTGATCGTCTGCAGAAGGCACGCTCATTTTACACCGACCTATTGACACTCGGCTGACGGTTAAACAATTATAACGTTCTGAGTAAGTACGCATGAGATAAGCCGGTACTTCTGGGTCCTCGTGTTGTCAGGAAACGCAGCTTGGCCGGTGAGATTGAGTAGTCGGTCCCTCTACAACAGGAAGGACGATTGAAAGTGATGAGTTGACATCCACATGATTGCGATTCCTTGTGAATCACCTTATTCCACTATTCTTCCGGGGATAGTTGTAAGCATGTAGGCTGGCTATTACATGGCCACATAAGCGCGCGCGAGCTCAAGTGGTTATGTGTGTGTCCTAAGACCTCGTTCGTATAGGCAACTCGAACTCACGGGACTATGGTTGTGGGTATCCACTTCTCCTCCTGGCCTTACGCATCGTCATTGTGTGCAATTTTGTAGCTGCTGGTTGCCCCATGACTGCAGAGATGCGCACATCTGTTTGTAAACTCTCGCGGGTCATCGTAGGTCACGCAGTTATGATGATAAACACATTATCATAAGGACAGCCGAGCTGTGGAACCGTGTACTAGAATTAGGCCTTTGCATGCATAGAGGCCGTCGGCTCCCCAACTATACTATGTAGTCATTTCTGGGTCCCGGTCGTACAAATTATACACAGCAAACGTTTCTAACCCATTCAAACCATTTCTAATGTTCTACGAATGCTCTTGCTATCGTTATACTGTACATCTTGTTTTTGAGCTGATATCGTGCTTTTTCGATAAGTCGTTAGCACCCCGGTCCCACTAATGAGCGCTGCGCTCAACGTGCTCGATGCGACCTTTTACCTGGATCCACTACTCTGAATGACTTTTCAACAAACGTGAGGAGCATCATCATTACACGTTAGCTGGAGGTGGAAAACACCTCAGCTATTGTGCCGCAATACAAAAGGCAAAAGAAAAGAAAAAACAAACAAACAGTGGCACGCCCGCTGAGTCCCCAGTAACGGATGGACATCGTTCCGGAGAGCTAACAGCTGGCTGCCGTAAAAGAAAGTCATATTATGCCTAACGATTGAGATCGTGATTGGAGGGGGATGCTAAACAGGAGGGGGATGGACAAAGGAACTCACAACACAAACGCCATTGGGGCCGGCTCCTAGCCATATCAGCAAGTGTGTCCAGCCAAACGTGTTCACCGTCCTTAGGACCCCAGCCAGGCAGTCGGGATGCACCAACCGACGCCAACTTCGAAGTGAGGGTTTTCATTTCTCGCGACCAAGTCATCACTTGGCCTCCCCTCCTCCTCTTCCAACCGCACCCACAACGCGCAAACAATGCACGTCGTGGGAGTCGGTGTGCTGGCATGCGCAAGACGTGGCCCAGCCATCGGAGCCTGGTGCGTGATATAATCGTGCTGAGCGGTTCACTCGCTCTTCCTGCACCAAATACGCGACGTCGAACACGCTCATTGCTCACGCGGTGTTCCCACCAGACATGAGCTAAGCTGCGAAGGCAGCGATGATCGAACGTGACGAGTCTCTTCATGTCTGTCGACCTGATGGGCCAGGTTTCACAGCTATATAGGAGAGTTGAACGGATGGCTGCGTTGTAAACTCTGCCCTTGAGGGCGAGAGTAATGTCGCGTCTGCGCCACAGGTGGCGGAGATTGGCAAAAGCACCTCGAGCTTTTGCTATACGGTTCGTAACCTCATCTTCAATCCCACGGGTGCTAATATAGCTGCCCAGGTACTTGAATTCCTGAACGACTTCTAGCAGATCACCACCAAGCGTTAGCGCAGGATTGGGTCCCTGCCAATCTTGGAGAAGTACTTTGCATTTTGATGGAGCAAAGCATAGCCCAAAACGACTGACAGCCAGTGCTAATCGGTTCAGTGCTGTTTGGCATGTTTGGGAGCTGTCACAGATTAGGGCAATATCGTCTGCATACTCCAAGTCAAGAAGTCGCTCACCAGGGAGTAGCTCCACACCTTCTAGGTCGTGTCCAGCGAACGCTGTTTCCATGACTTCATCAATAGCGAAGTTGAAGAGGAAAGGTGACAGCGGGCATCCTTGTCTCACACCGCTGGTGATACTGAAGGGTGGCGAGAGTTTGCCATAAACATTTACTTCCCATTCCAACGGTCCGTAGCCTTAAGGAGCACGATCCTGCCTTGTAATCCGAGAGCGCGTGTTCAAGCCTGCGTAGTGACCGGGCGACGGTCGCAGTATCATTAGCCGACGTACGACGGGTGATGGCTGCATGGCAGAGAAGCGTCGGTATACTGATGAGCCTTTTTTCTATTCCAACAGCACTGCGAAGTTTCTGATTGAACCCGTGTGGTTGGACGAAAGACGTTTTGCGTTCGCATTTGGTTTTTTGACACGTCTCCTGAGATAGTCAGTATGGAACCATTTATAACACTATCACTTGACTTCTCTCAGGACATATTTTGGCTTTTTATTTGTTGCTTCACTAACGTCACCAAGGTGTTACCCTCATGCATCGCAAGTGTGTGCAATCTTCCTCTGTAAGCACACAAATTTCATATTTATCCATGAAAACCTGGATGCCGACTTACTTTGGAGAGAAGGATGTTTAATTTGCTATTTTATCAACATATGTGATACAACTTGGTTTCTTTTCCGATCTTCGACCATTGTTGCGCCATTTTTCTACTTTGAAATATAATGTAAAGAATTTGTTTTTCATCTTTCTTCGAGTGATACAGCGAATCAACACTCTCTGATGCAACAACTGGTAATCTATGCTTAATACTCATACAACTTACCCAGTTCATGGTGAATCACGTTATCCGCCATATATTAAGCGATAAGTCTAAGTTATTCGTATTCTTTTGGCATCGCGTCCGCATTTGAAGTACCTTTGTATTTGTTTTGCTTCTTCTGCCTGTGTCCATATGAAGTTCTATTTTAGGAGGTTGCGGTAGATTTTGGTGTTCCAGCATTTCGCAACAGAGTGCTCATGGATATAACTCCTCCTCTTGTTGACTTCCACTATATATTGTCACTAGCTAGTGTATCAATAGGCACTACCTTGTCTATCACCTAACACCTGCGCACAAACCAGGGAGGTTCGATGCTTGGCCACCGCGTTGGAGACAGATGCAAGTGGGTCATGCGCTCGGATTTCGGTAATCCCAAGAAATGCGGACCAACACCAGATCACTTCCACTTGTGATTGTCGAGTGGTGCTGTATAGTCCTTATGCACCAATTCAATCACATTCTTATTCACTCTCTCATCGGGGAATCAGCATCTACGTCTGCCGCCTCAAGCCAGAGCTGTACGTACAGATGCAATTCGTACGCTACTTGCACCCAATTGTCCTCATTTTGCACTTAATCTACCACCTCCAATGGCATTATGACTTCTCTGTTCGGCTGTTAACTATAGTATCCTGACCAATGTTCAGCCTAACTCGGCTCATTTACCATGTAATCCGCACTGTGTAAATATGTGAGTCTTACAAGATTTACCGAAATGCATTCTTAACTCAACACTATGATTCATTTTATTATCTAACTTATGTCTGCTGTTGGTTACATCCATATATCCAAAGACATGAATTTCCAGAGTTTCTGTATCGCTACGACTGCTGTTACTAATGACTTCACTAATAACAACGATAAAGGTGAGGCTGATGCTGAAACGTTCTTCGTCCCATTTACGTGTTGACTGTCGGGTTTTACTCCAACTGTTTCTTGACTCCTCAGGGAAGTTCGGACAACATGAGCATCGTCTTGGTGGCATTTGACCTTGCTCCCAGAGAAGATCCCGAATCCAAGGCCGAAGATGTGGAGTTTGAAACTTTGCTGTTGCGCCGAGCCAAGGGTGAGAAGTTCCGTCAGTTTTTTGCTGTATCTTGCCTGTCAACTCTGACTTAGTGCACGGCGTTTCTGAGTATCCTGCAGTGACAAGCTCACACTTAATAGGATCGTATGGTTAACTGCACAGGCAACTCTTTTTACCTGGTACATAGTTCCTCCATTCTTCTATGTCACTTCTTAACTGTGGACTTATCCGAGTGGAAAGAACGCTGAACTCGATTTGTTCCCATCTGTCCGCCAGGAAACAGTGATAGACTGAAAGTTGTCACTCCACCACCTTTATGAAATCACGTGGTTGTATAGTTTCCCCGGGACTGCCAATTGATTTTGTGTCTGCAATCTGAGAGATTGTTCGGAGGACCGATTTTGACTTGTGCCTCAGCAGCTGACTGCCATGTTCCATATGACGCTATTAGGAAGCCAGTGTATCTGTTCTACGTTACTCCTATCGCTTCTCAGTCTTGCTACTTTTGTTCACTAATTTATTTTTTACTTCCAATTCTTTCCCTCCGATTGCGTTTCCCACCTATCCCACACAATTCTAAATACTGGTTGGATGCAACAAGTAGAGATATATCTGTGTTGTTTCATCTAAAATCAATCAGGTACACAGGCCTGTTACCTTGAAAGTATCCGTTTGTCCAAGAATTTCTTGAATTCCGACACTGACTTCGCCCCAAATACGTGCTACCGCACGTTGTTCCGTACATTCACCACTCTCCGTTCGAAACAGAGTTGGTGGGCTACCCGCTTCAAATCCGGTCCTACAAGCTTGTACCTGTATCCTCGTGTGCTGCTTGTTGTGCGCAAATGCAACAGCGGCCCCGACTTGGGATTATCGCCGAGTGGTATTATCCGGTGCGTCATGATGAGGTCAACTCACACTCGACGATAATATAACTTGTAAAGCCCTAGTCTCTTACACCGGTCTTCGCACGGCACACCACAGAAAGTGGGGATCAGCCTGATGGCCACATGCTGTACCCGTTCAATCCTTTGTACCTCGTCCCGGGTGATAAGACAGTATGCGGGTAAGCCGTACTGTAACATTGGGCTTGGGGTTGAGACGATGAGGTTAGTGGCAATCTCTTCAGATCAATTGCTGAAGCTGTGCTTGAGCACCCAGAAGCAAACGAAGTCCGTTTTGTAAAACCGATTCGTGTTGTTCACGGACTTCAGGTCACAGCGTGAGAGTACCCCGTGGTCTTTCAGGAAAGGCGCGGGATGCAACAGTTGACCGGTCACAGTGTAGGTTCGACCGTGTTCACCCAGCCTCATGCTTTGCGACTTGACCGGGTTTATCAAAAGGTTGACCTCTGCAGACCACATGAAGAGGCAGTCAACCTCTTCCTAAAGCAGGTCGCATTAATCTGATTTCTCTGATTATTTTCCACATATCCTAGTCATCTGTAAACGTTGCACAAGGCGAACAGAGAAGTCGTGGCACACCGTTTATATGCATTAGGAACAATATGGACGGCAGTACAGTGCTTTGGGGCACACCACTGCTCGGTGGATACCAGTCGGTTAGATGGTTGTCCACCTGGACCCTCCACTTTTGACCAACAAGGAAATACCTGATCCATCGGTGCAGCCAGCCTCCAACACCGCACACCCTCAGCCTATGGAGGTGGATCTCATGATTCACCTTGTCAAAAGCTTTACTGGGGTCAATGTAATTGACAACTTTTACTTTGTTTAGTTCATCGCAATTGGATTACAAGGCAGATAGGCCAACTAACTATCCGGAAATGCCCCCGAAGCCATTGTCGTTCTCTTGGGATTCGCCACTTGTGTGCATTCCCTCGGTCCCCTTCAGTGAACGAAACCTTGTGCGGCTGTTGGCTTACACCGCTAGCCTGAAGTTTTGTCACTTAGTCATGGGGGATGATGGCTGACCGTCATGGATAGAACTTTAGTTGCCACATAACCCATGTGCGAGAAACATGGTTTGTAATGGCGATGACATTCCCACGATGAGTCCGATCATCAAATGCACGCAACTTTGTCCCACTGTTTCCGGTTTCCAGCATCTAATTTCATCTCTTTGGAACTATCGATGCTCATCATCACTCGATTTCTGGCCGGTCGGGCGGATGCATTCGTTAACACGTTAGCTAGAGGTGAGAGACTCTAGCTATTGTGCCGTAGTACAGTGCTATCCCGAAAAAGGTACTACAAACTAATAATTGCTGCAAAGTACTAAACTCGAAGTAAGTAATTCAATATGCTTGGAATAGTCTCTGATCCCATGATTCCTGAAGGTTTTGAATACAAATCGGTTTTTGTAGGGTTTTATTATGGCAACGTTTCGCCATTGACGCAAGTGACGATGAGATCGTGGTTGAACGTAGGAGGCTAAGTGGGATGAGGACGAACAAAGGAACTCAAAACACAAACTTCACTGAAGTCGGTTCTTCGCTTTGTCCACAAGTGCATCCAGGCAGAAATGTTCGTTGCTCTTGAGACACCAACCGAGATCCAATCCCAAGTAAACGTCTCCATTTCTCCTGACCAGGTCATCATGTGGCCTGCCATTCTCTTCCATACAGACCCCAATCACGCAAACAACACTCATCGCAGGAGTCGATGTGCAGACATGCGCAACACGTGGTTTAGCCATCGGAGCCTGATGCTGAACGGTTCAATAGCTCTCCTTTCGTCAAAAACGTGATGAACACGCTAATTGCTCACGCGGTGTTCCTTACAGTTGTGAGCTAAACCGCGAAGGCAACGATGGTCTAACCCCACATGTACTCCTTATATCTGTTAATCTCATGGGCCGAGTTCCACAGCCGTAGGGGAGGGTCGAACCGTTGTAAACTTTGCCTTTCAACGCGAGAGTGATATCGCTTCGGTGCCACAGTATGCGGAGATTGGCAAAAACACTTGGGCTTTTGCTACATTGTTCCTGATCTCACCTTGTATTCCACGCGGCCAAAAGTTGCTACTCCGTGTTTGATGAATATCTTCCAACCAACTGCAATCCTTTTACGACCAAAATTACCTTTTACCACAAAATCACCACACTGGCTACACAATACTGCCAAACAATTTAAGTCCCGGTGTTGGGATATGTGAATGAGTGGTTAGATCAAGAATTAGAATTCTCCATACGGTTGCCTCATCGTCTGACAACGGTGCTCAAACATTTCCGTCGGCGTTTGCCTTGTAATCTGGACGTCACTGTCTCGAATGCAAATAGATGTTGGCGACGTCACGGTATACCCAATCCTAGCGCAATTGCTAGTGGTCGCGTGTCAGCGAAGCGCCGATACGATGGGCCGACGTACTGTTGCTGCATTGCCTCCTCCGGCGATGCGAATTCGAATGAACGACGTAGATGTCAGAAGCAAAACACTTGAATCATTTTGTCACGGATAGTATACACGACACTTATTCAGAGTGCTCGGATAATCGGGATTGTTTGTATCGTAACTGTGCGCCTGTAGTTCGCGGTATTTTAGTTGCCTTTACCTTTAAGTACCGTGGGGCCAACATACCTCTGTGTCCTCTAGCAACTGGACCTTAACGTAGTGCGGCGATTGGTGTACCTCCTTGACTCATTGAACTTTACTGGGAGGTGCCTCCGGGCACCTTGAGAGCTATCCCTACCAGGTCGTTTAATGTTTAGAGGTCAGACAAATTCAGTCTCCTGGTCCTCCAGATTGGGGATTTGAAATGTGTTATCGTCCATTGTTGTAGAACTACATCACTGCCTTGAGGACAGGCTTCTGAGCCAAAGGCTTTTTTTGAGGACCCCAGTCGTCCTCGTGTCTAAGTCTGGGTGCCTTGGCAGTATCTCAGCCCACATACAACAATGACGATTTTCCCAATATCTAACTACTTCGTGCATCAATCGTCGAGCAGATTATCAAGGGTCGCCTTCTCTGCTGCATGCAGCATGGCGGATAAACGAAAACATCCAACTGTTGGCGCCTCCCTTCTTTCTTGTCAGCCTGTTTCTCTTACTCCCATCTCGATCCCCATTACTAACGTTCTATACTTCACAACTTAATTGTCAGCAACCGAAGTGCCACTGGAGTCACCGCATCTGCAGCCACCTTTCCGCAACACCCACCGGATGCCTATTGGCAACACTCCCATATAAAGCCACATTGTCCCGTTTCCCTGGAGGCGTTCAACTTTCGAACTCTACGACAACTAGATTAACAGTATGCACTCGCACGCACCTTGGACACACTTGTTATTGAGGTATGTTGTGTGTCCGAAACTAAGAATAATGACCGTAATGGTGTTGTTGAATTAACTGCACCTGGCTTGTCCTCTCGCTATTGGTTGCACGCATTCGGAGACGCTGAAGCAGCATCAGTCTAGCTGGTGTATGTATCATTTTAAGCTCCAAGGCTGAGTCATCATTAGTTTACTGGATTCCGGCGAACAGCCTTTTGTGTGCAGTCTGTTAGAGGACGTCAACTAAGGTTAATTCGCGAAGTAGTACAAAACGCTGTTTTTTATTCGTGATTTCCGCTTATGCTCCATCGACTGCAGTTCTGATGCTGTCAAGAACACATTCTATCACGAACTGAACGCTCTACTACGCACTGCTACTAGTTCAGATATTATAGTACTTGCAGGGGATATGAATGCACGAGTTTGGAGTCTGGGCTCTTTAGAATCTCAGCTGGGTGATAATTATGGGCTCAACTCCGAACAGACTGACAACGACAAGCGTCTGTTACAACTGTGTGCGGAGCACCAGTTGTTTCAGTAGTATCGCTTTTAGACGCAGTGGGCGCCGAAGTGCAGCTTGGCCTCTTCCTTGAGCTGGCCAGTGATGGACCCAAATTGATCACATTGCCCTAAGTTACAGGTAGCATGCTTCCATCCTAGATTACCGCTCGTACTGGAGTACCTGCGTCGACTCTGATCATGCCTTGGTACACTGTCGTTTCTCCATGAACTCTACCGCGGGTGCACAAAGCGGCTCGTGGAGCTAATTGCTGTCCTCTCCACAGTTCGTAACTAGCATGGCAGTGGGAGATGAGCCGGGCTATATCATGGTCGACTGTCAGTCATGCATGTGCACGGTCGTCGCCCATGGCTAAGTGGAACTAGCTGCTGGTATCCCGAAGTCATGTGGTCGGAACCCTGCAGGGATATGAGGAAGGCGCACGACTGTTGAGACCCCCAAGGTCGAAACAGCAGTGTCTGGTGTTTTTCCAGACGGGCTAACGCCTGCTAACTGAGAGTGGACTATGCTGAATTACCTCTGAACTGAGAACTTGTCTCAGCCCTCGGTCAGGCAAGGCTATCAAGACGCACTGCCTACCGTACTTTTGCTGTCTTGTCCAAATGACACAACTTTGGTGGAATAGGATCTCGGCAGCCATGCACGACGCAGGAGAATCTGCTTGTGGCACTATCATTCGTCACCGCTCTATTCAATGGATATCCGGGAGGTCAGTGTACCTATTGGAATCCAGAAGAAACCTCCCGACTGACTCTGAGCACAATGTGACCAGACGGAGGATTTGGCGCTAACCATATATGAGACTGCATGCTGACACGGAAGTCTGGTGGACCAGTCGGGCTCAAGAATTGGAGGTGGCGGGTTCAGTAGGCAATTATCGCAAGCTCTTGCAGCTGATCCGCACCACTGGTCCCAGGAATCCAGGTGTCAGTGTGACAATCAGAGACAGCGCGGGTGCACCGATACACAATAAGGGGCGCCGTATGTCTCCTTGAGCTGGTCACTTTCAAGATCAGTTCAGTTGGCCCCTCGCTTCTGGACATCTTCCTACTCAGGTGATGTAGGACGAGCCATGGACGGTTAGTTTAGAGGCTCAAGACTTTACAAGACATGGCTCGCATACGCGTGGGGCATCTGTTGCCGTTTCCTAGTCGGACAGCCTGGTTAAAATGTTTTTGGTGCTTAGTTATCTGCAGTGTAATGTCTGATTATAACGCGGGGCAATGCAAACCGCAAGAATGTTGTTTTGCTGATGCCGCCTTATCTTTGCGCGACAACCAGCTATTTGTGACGGTAGGTTGTTAACACGAAGCGCCTTGATCCTGAATGTTTGCTTAGTACATTAAAGTTTTCAGATATTTCCCTCTTCTCTCCCTCCTATTATTCTTCATTCTGTAGCTCATCTTTGTTGTATGGAAGCGAAGCATCGGTTCAAATGGCTGATGTACTTATGTTGTTGCTGTTGTTAATGTAGATGGCGACTTGTCAAATCAGTATTATTTGCAGTGTCATGGTTCTATCATGACGCGTAGGTGTCGATACTGATATTGTAGCGAAAACGACGCATGGGGGAGGAGACAGAGCGTGTATTGCCACAAGAACGTGCCACTGACATCTCACAAATCCGTGCAGATTTGGACCATGTTTCCTTCCCACGACGCAACGCGGATGAGGAATTCTGTGACGGGTCATTCCAGGTGCCTACGGGGTTGGGATTCGTGACAACCCCTCCATCTTTCTATCCCGTATTTTCGCTTTGCTACATCTGATTCTAGCCGGCCATGAGTCGTTCGAAAACCCGCGGTTTTCTCTCCCGTGGCTGCATCACTCGAATCGCGTTCACTCCTGTGGGCTTCGCTACCAGCGTATTTGTCTGATTCATTGCGTTCTCGACACATTCCTCCTCTGTTGTTCTGGGCCCAAGCTTGTTAGCAGATGCTGCCCGTGATCCGCTGTCGGCTTGATCCGCAACGCTCGCAGAGCCTTGTCTCGTCTCATCCATTGCGCCCGTTGTTAATTCTCTACAATGCCTTTTTTGTTGTTTTTCCTGTTCACAAATAGTCACTGGCTTCCACCGCCCTACAATATTACTGGTGTGAGGTTTCCCTATTCTTTACATTTTTCCGGGAAACGTAGCAACCATGACGATTACACTAACGATCTTCAACCATGTAAGTACTACAAATTACTCTTTTGGTCTGCTCGACTTAGTTATGTCAATTCAGACACGCCACTCGTTTGTCATTCGAGTGACAGATGGTTGAATTGACGTGGACAGTTGGGTCGCATTGCTTGTGTCGTATCGGTATCATTGTCTTTCTCTCATTCTTTGTCCAGCTTTTTCAGATGAGTGGCAAGGTTATCAAAGTCACTTGAAAGGCTTTGTATTGCGTCGTCCCATCCACTTGCGCGCAAGCGCTCAACACATTATCTTCCATTCAGTCTGCTATGTGCGTACTTTCTTACATGTTCGATTTTCGGTCTCAATTCGTATAGAGCGTTCACCAGCCACTCAGCTGTCGTCGCCGTTTGGCCATGGGACTTTCTCTCATTGATAGAGAGATTCAGTTGACTGTCCTACTTAATGCTTCACAAATTGTTTTCACTCATTTTATCTAACCGGAGTGTTCGGGCTACCCAACTAAATCTGTCAATTGATGGATTGCTTCTTCCATAACTGTTCGTATCTAGATCTGCTCATTTTCGCAAGTGATTACCCAGATTTACTATTCTAAACCGTACACCGTGTGGTTTTACCCTCAACAGTTTTGGGTTCTACGCACCTTTTTATTTGAACTCTGTTCAACTTGCTCGGTTCGATCACTACCACTCAACCGTCCTTCCTCGCATTACCTTGAACTTTGAAAATGGTTGGTACAATCGAACTAACCGATAAAAATGGGACATAAAGGATCATCTTTGCTTGTGAGTGCATTTTCAACACATAAGCCCCATTGACTGCGGATTGCTCCACGTTGGATGTGTCTCGTTTTGAGACGGAGAGTCGTCTAACAGCGAATAGTGCGCACGGTGACAGCCGATCGGCGGTCATGTGAAATGCGCACCATAGTTATTGCGGTTCTCAATTGTTTGTCGCTGAGTTCCACTTGATGGATGTTAATATCGGCCGTTCAGGTGTTTCCGCAAGCTACAAACGATGCGTGGCAGTTATGGCGTTCAACGGCTGCTAGTCTCCTAACGCGTAATGACGCTGGTCTTTGATAGATCATCTAATGTTTCACCGTTTATACGGATGATTGAAGCGTTGAAGAGCTACTTTTGTTCTACAACAACGCATAGTACTCTCTTCGACGATGTATTCACTGAGCCTTACCTGAATTGCGATCGTTTCCTGTGCCGCATCTCTCCAACACCGAACTCCCCGACTTGGTATACCTGGGGCTGGGTGTTGATTCTCGATCTCAAAACTTCACATTTACCAAATGACTCAGATGGAAATTGGATATTGTCCGCCCGAAAATACTGTCTTAGCTTCGCTCCCAGTGTTCGCATTAACCACGGTTCACTTCATTGTGAGTTTGCGCGTCGCAATTCATTCACACAAGGAGTACATCAAAATGCCCCTCCAATCTACCAGGTGATTCCACTACTTTTGCGTTGCCTGTTCCTCTGAGTATGTTTATCATGACACTGGCTTGACGCTGGTTTCCATTACAGTTAAAGTGCTTAAGTTTGATTTACAAGTCTCACCGTTCTACTTAAATAGGGAAAACTAAGCCGAAGCTGGTTGTGCAGTTCGGTACCGTGTTAAACACAAGCCACTTCGAGAGTGATTTCACTGATTGTTTGACTACTCCACCGCTCTCGTCTTTATTCCGTTTAGGTTTTCTGTACTTCGAACTGGCAGCACAGAGCTGACTACTAGCTGCCTGTTTTCCTTCCTTATCCTGCACACTTTTTCATCAAGAAGATTAACCCACGGTGACATCATTATGCCATACGGGGATCATCTGTTAAACCTACTACTTGTTTCGGGATACTTGCGTTTACGGTTAATCGATGTCCAGATTTCCTTCTCTTACACAGTAGTATAGGATTCCGTTTCCGAATGTGTCGCTTTTGCCACGAAATACTGCTTCTTTCTTACTTGCTTGTTATCAATCTGTGGTCTCTACCTCTTCCGTGTGAACACTGTGCACGCTGCTTTCCTACTAATGTTGCATTTTTGCCGCTTGTGGAATCAAAGACGCATAACTCTTGCCTCGTATTAGGGTTCCAGATAGTATGGTCAGAGAACAAGATGCGTTTAACGGATCTATTGATTTTTAAAAAAAATCCACCTTGATGGGCTTCCCATCAACACGATGGCTTGTTATATGCGAAATTTTCAGAGTTCATACAAAAATCCACGGAGACGTTGACGACTGAGCAAGTTCTCAACCACTTGGAAACTTTTGACAATCCTGAGCTCCCATCCTTTCTCACCTTTTGCAAGTGAGTGCGTTTCTTCTTTCCTTTGGACAGTGTTATGATCCAGCTTGTCGTTATACATTCCCGTTTCTTCAGTTTGTAGGCTGTCCACTTTGGGGAGATACTCAATTATTCATGTTTTTTGTCAGTTGTCCTTGGGACCCTATGGTTTCACGCAGCAAGTCCATCATATTAAATTTATTGATCAAGTCCTTACAGTCCACCTCACCTTAGCAGTAGAAACGGAGGATCACACTTATTTGGCCAATTATTTAATTGATTTCCTCGATTTTAGTTATTTGGGTCGCTACCTTTTGGCCCAACTAATTATTTAATTATTCCTTCTTCAGTTTCATGCTTTGCTTAATAAGCTGACCTATCGGCTGCTCCGTTACCAGCTGTTTTTGGTTATGAACTGGCTAATTAGTTAACTACAAGCGATCCTCGTCACCGAAACAGTCTTGCTCTGATAAGTTTACCTCACTATGGTGATTCCATACCACCCCCTGTTTTGAGGAGATCGCTCCACCAGAAAAGTCGGACGGTGTATCATATGCGTACACAGAGCATTTACGGCGGAGCTTATAAATCACTCACAACTGGTTGGTTTTCAGTTGTAGGTGCCTTCTCTTACCTACTGCTCGCCTGTATCTACAATTGCCCGAATGCGTCTAATGAGAGGATAGCGAATATCAGTTCTGCCTTTGATTTTGCATCGGGTTACCACATGGACAGAAGAAACTTGCCGGTCCTCTCAGTTTGCCAAAATACGCTGATCATTCCAATCACCGTCGTTATGCACACAAGTTTTCTTTCTCTCATTTGGGCTGCGTACTGGACACGATAGGTTACCTCAGTCCAATCAGGTCGGTCAAATTTTTTGGACCTTATATTCACACTGGCTATTTCCAACGCACAGCCCGAGGTATAAACCAGTCTCCCTGATTGCAACCACAAAATACTACGATCCAGCTTCCACATTTGAGAATTGTCACTACACTCGCTTTTACGCCGCGGTATAAAATATACCAATTCAACCGGAAAATCTTTTCAACCATTAATCCGATTTCCGACTGGGATGTATTTTTCCTCTCTACCAGTGTGTATGCATTACTGCGGAGCAGTTGTGTTATCAGGTTCATCGCGCTCTATCCCTCCTTGCTGCACAATGTAAACGTGCTGCTCGAGTCTCTATCGGTGTCATCGAATACTCAATCAACTAAAAAGCCAGAAGACCGTCTGCTAGATTCGGAAGCACTGATGTTAAAAATGCACTAATGTATTACTAGAGTCAATCATACACAATTAGCGCAGCGATGTATGTAACAGATAGCCCTACGAACAAGCTACAAGACGAGCGAACTAGTCAGAATGTCGCGTCTTAGAACCAATGACCGCTGTCGTTTAATTGCTGATTTTGTCGACGCTGAGGGCGACTTCATGAAGCAGTTGCAGTCTGTGAAGCGGTCATCTCTTGATCACTTCCATGGGTCTCGAAGCCCATCACTGACACACACACACACACACAGAGTTTACAGTAACGAAAATCTGAAGCGGAGTTGTTATTTCGCCCAATGGTATCCACCAGTTTATAAAGTTAGTCAAGCCACCCTCCAAACCGCGTTCTGATGGCATTATACTGTCCGCCATCAAACTAGGTGAGTGACCGTCTGGGAGAAAGTAACAAATTCCCTGTAAAGCCATTATTTCAGCAAATAATCGATTGTTACCTATTTTTGAATCGATTTCGAACATGACTGCATAATTTTCGGAAAATTATTTGAATCAATGTGGCAGTGCTAATTTTACCAATTTACCGTTCTCTTCTAAAAGTCTACTGTAATTGGGTGACCTACAAATATGGCGCAGGTTTCCTCCCACTGTACCGTGTTTTTTGGCGGCGCTTAATGCATTGTATGACCAAAGACATTTGTCTTCTGATTTTCCTTCTGTTAGTCTCGTGGTCTCGTGGAACAGTTGATTGTTATTTTGTGATCGCAGGGAGCGGGAATACCTAGCAAATGGCAACGGAGAAATCTAGTAATGCAATGAACTATCCTGCAGAACAATTCAAATGCTGCTACGGCAACGTCAAACACAAATAGGGGCACAAATGAAGCTGATCTAAACTTCGACGCAGTGGCTCACTCTACAGGCTTTGGAAACAGCTTCGCAGGACTCGCAGGCATGTTCTGTTGAGCTTTTTAGTTCATTTACGGAGTTCAACCACGATGCTCATACCGTACACACTTTGATGTTTGGTCAGACGCTAAGAGCTTATGTTCAGGACGGATTTCTGTTGTCGCAATAAGTCCTGGAAATGTCAAGTGCTCCTGTGCGAACTTGATACCAATGAGCACTCAGTGTTCGTGGATCACGTACTACCAAAAACAACCAAACGATCTTAGCTTTGACGAATGAATGTCACAACTGAACGAAATCTTTGGTAAGTCGTCATTACTATTCAACATTCGTTATGCGTAAAAGTTGGCAAGCGAAACACAGACAATTTTTAGGAGGTAGCAGAAAGTCAACTATGAGCGTGAACTGTTCGTGTTGCGCACTTTGACGGATGACTAATTCGAATATCTGACAATCCTCGCAGGATGCCTAGATCCGTGCAAGACTGCTCTGGACTCTGGATCAAGACACGCACAACGCGGAAGTCCATTACTGTCGAATGCAAGCGATTACTGACTCTTAAACATTATCCTGCCTTGGCCGAGAATGACACATCTCCAAAACCGCGAAATGTTACTGCATTGACAATATCCCGATTCCGACCATTTAGGAGATACCTGCCAAATGTGTCATAAGCTGAGACACAAGGAAGAACTCAGCAAGCAATCTCGACCACTAAGCAAAAAGCCGTTCTTCTCTAAGAAGGTGAAAATTACCACTACAGACTCCCTGTCAGTCATGACCGCTTTCCAGCTTGGGTTTGAAGCCCGCAGACGGTTCACCACCGTACGTGTTAACGGGTTTCACTCGCATCTACAATTTTTTACGGCCTTCGATATGAACATCATCTCCATGACCACATAGAACCATATCAATAAGCCGATGATTGCTGATTTTGACAAATTAGCTGACAGCGCTTCTGGCGGAGTATTTAAGCTGCTTCTTGAAAAAACCTGCAAAATAGCATTTAATAGAGTGGAGTAGGCTACGACAGACAGACCGAAGCTTAGCCTTGGTTTCAACTGAACGAAAGGCCTTGACTGTTTGTTCTGCTGAACCAGACCTTTCAGCCAATTCCTTCGATGACGCGGTCGCTGCAGCGCAAACTGTTCTGTGTTTCAGGTGGCCTAGTACATTGTACAGAATTCAAGGTAACACTGTGCTTGTTCCCAGGTGCCAAGCCAGCCTTCAGGGTTAAAAGACCGGTACCGTATGCACCCATTCCAACGGTTGATCAAAAGCTCGATTGAGTAGTAATATCTGACTGAATTACACCTGTAAACTACTCTTCATTGGCTGCACCCATTGTCACATTGAATAAAGCGAACGGTTGAGTACCTGTCTGTGACGATTTCTCAACCTTCCTAGACGCTACGCTTGACGACCACCAGTATTCATTGCTCGTACTGTAAGACATCTTTACGAAATTGAATGTTGGTTACTGCTTCGCCAAAATTGACCTGCCGATACCTACCTTCAGGTGAGTATTGTTGAAAACTCGAGAGAGCTACTGACAATTAGCAGTCATTTTAGGTTGTTCCAGCACGACCGCTTGCCTTTTTTGTGAAAATGACACCAGCCATTTCTCAGAAATCGCTAGATACCATGCTCGTTGTAGTTTCTGGAGCCGCCGCCTACCTATTTGGCGTCATACTGATGGTCCGAACAGTAGAAGAACGATTTAACCGGTTTGATGATGTGCTTTTTCATATCAATTAGTATGGTTTCCGGATTCTCGAAGACACATGTACGCTTTTCACGCCAACGATCAGAAAACTCGGTTTTTTCCTTGAAAATGATGGCCGTCGACAAGATCCAACGAACGCGTAGATCATAAAGGCAATACTACCGCCAACCGACTTACAGTTATTGTGTTCCTTTTGTGGTCTCATCAACCACTGCAACGCATTTTTGCCTGATATGCATCACCTGCGTGCCCCGCTGAATTAACTGCTGACCACAGCACACATGGAACTGGATGTGCGTACCAGAGTGCCTACGAACTGGTCAACTCCTTATGGGGCTTAGACCTGATTCTGACTTATTACGACCCAACTCAGGAACTCGTTCTTGCGACAGTCGCATCAAGTTATGAACTCGGTACAATTATATCGCATGTGTATCCAAATGGGTCTCAGAAAGCGATGCGACACGCAGCCAGGATGTTAACAAAAGTCGAAAGAAACTACAATCAAATCACGAAAGAGGCACTGGTCACAAAGGAGGTCCTAAATAGATGGGATGCCACCGCACTGCACTCCTATGCTTGCCAGGTCCGAAAGTGCACGTTGAACTTTTTCAGTTCCTTGGGTCTGATAAATGAATCACAACACGGTTTTCTTGACAATCGATCGTACATCACTTGTCAATTTTATTATCTGAACTATATTTCGGAATCTATGGGTTCCGGCTACGCAGTAGTATTTTAGTTTCTGGACATGCGGTTAACAATTTTAGTGACATTAAGGATCGGAGACCAGTTACTAGGTTGGCTGCCGTCGTACCTGAGTGGTCGCCACCTGGTAGTCACTCTAAATATCTATCGCTCTTCTCCACGCCTTACCACTAGTGGGGTTATCCAACGGAACGTGCCCCTCACTGTTCCTGCTCTACATCAATGACACTACCATATCCGTAAAACATGGTCGGCTGTTTTAATTCGCAGATGGGATCGAGATCGTCTATATGCTTCGGCGTAACGAAATTTATAGATTGCTAGTGCTCATTCAAGTTGACTTACGTTCCCTTGAGTCATTTTGCTCCACGTGGGTGATGAACTATTCGGCAAAATATCAGGCTGCAAATGTTCCCAGTCGGGTTTATGAAGTCTATTTTGATTTGACTTGACTTACGACTTTTTCGTCATCGAAAGGCCTACTACGCTGAACAACGAACATGTTTGTCCGCGCGCGATCTCAGAATTAAGTAGGTACACATGGACGTTCAGCGTTTCCGATCAGTCCCAATACCAAATTGCTCGGGCCAAACAATCTTTGGTTAGTAAATCCGACAATCCGTGCTACAGTTGAGCTTTTTAAGCTACTCATTCGCCCAATATTCGATAACATGTGAACGAGATGCCGAACAGCTCTGGAACGCCTGCGGAGTTCAATTACTAAACTTTTGATTTGTAATCATGCTGTCAGCAATTATCAAAAGCGTTGCAGCAAACTTCAACTCGAACCACTTTAGGTACGAGGATTGAATCACGAGTTATAGGTAGAAATTCGTCACATCTGGACTCACTCAGACAGCCGTCACATGCCCGGAACAGCACTGTACACGCGTTTCATCCTTTCGGGAATCGTCAGCAACACGCATTCCATCGGACCCCGGTAAGGCTCGAGAACCCGCAACTCGCTGTTGCCAGTCCGTGGTTGAGACCACTGAGCTCTGGGGGACGGCAACGATAATCGTGTATCAGTTAATAGATGTGATGTAGCGCCGCTCACTATCCACTGACTTAGGCGTCACTGTTGTGCAGAGGATAGGGTAACCCCCCTCACCAGGCGGCGAGCTTACCAAACTTAAGCCGCCAATTAACTTATGGCATTATAAGCAGTGTGGTTTGCGTACTGATTACATAGGAGTAGTAGGGACAGTTGAATGGTGTAGGTAGAAATTCGTAATCCAATGAATCTCCAGTTTTCGCCGCTTTTCAAGCTGCTACACAAATAGCCCTATTATGTTCTGCTTACACTGGAAGTGCAGTATAGCTGAATTAAAGAGCTTCGCGACAACGATTGTACACTGGTTATGCCGAATGCTAGTACAAGTATACAGTCCACTTTCTTCCTGATCCGATATACCTTTCTGTGGAATAAACTACCAATCACATTCATATCATACGAAAACGTAGGAACCTCTAACAACGAACTCACAAGTTACGCTTACCTATGTACACTAATGGCTATATTCACATGGGAAAAATTCTTCGATGAACTCTTCCGAATTGACTCAAAAATGTCAAAACACTTCCGTTTCAGCCATCACTATTTTATGAATCGAATGCTTCAATATTGCATATATCCTTGTCGCCTATGAAAGAGGATGATTACTTTTGCACGTATTGATGTATACCACGCTGTTTATCAGATTACGAGAAGTATATAACTTAGTATTGTTATCAATTTCATTGTGATTTTTGATCAATGTTCGCACATCTATGACAATAAGAAACTACTCATATTTCCTACCTTCTTGCTATCATTTGTCCAGTGTTATCCCGGCTCAATTTCTGCGTTGAAGAAATACTGTCCGTGTCAAACACCAGTACTATCAGAAATGCTTACTCGAATGTCCTTATCTTTTTTCAGGGATTTAGATTTGTCGCACTTGCGGATTCGACATTTGCTGACCACGATACTGCAGATCTGATTCATGCTGAGTTCATTATGGCGTCTTTTGATGTAAAAGCCTCGCTGTGATTTGTTTATGCATAGACTGTTTTGTTTATTCCGAGCTCCCTTGTCGCTACAGATAGATGCATGATTCATGTTATAGCAGTTCGCCACGTAACCCTACCTTTTCCCCTTAATTAGGGATAATCTTGTTGCTGCATCGATTTTCTTAGCTTGTCTCCATATGTCTGGTCTCTGCTTTATTCGTCTGGAATGAATATCTGGATTTGTCTCCTACAAATATCAATCCGAAACCACATTTTGTATTCCTTTATCTTTTTAGGGGCGGATTAGTTCAAAAATTGCTCGAGGATTATCGATTTGAAAATTCGACCTGACATTGTCACTCCTTCTGCACACGAAGATGAATATGTTTGGTGCACCACGGGGCTGAAATTTTCATTTCCACTTTTTCTCAAAAATGATCTACGTTGTATCTGTGTTCACGATACCATCATTCTGTGCATATTCTGGTGCCATGTTCTTCCGTCCGTGAACCCACCACACACATTACTTTTAATATGGACGTCCCACGTATCACCAAGCAAATATTCCATCTATCCCTTAATCTCTGCATTCGACTTCATGTGGGTTGTAACAGACACCTGTACAGTTGCATTTAGAATTGCTGGCGATGTTGTTATCGCATTTCAAATCTCTGGCACCTCCTCGAAACATTACCCATTTTCAGCTGTTTCTATTATTTTGGGTTATTCGTTCCACTGAGCCAGTTTCCTACTTTAATCAAATGCGTGTCAGATTTATTCACAACTTGTTCCACCGACTTATTATCACCGGACTCGTCTGCCATGTTTCCAACCAGGCAACCCTTTGACCTTTTGTGTTCTATATTTGCTTACTTCAATTTTATCAGTAGTATAAATTATTGGAACATTCGTTTTCCACACGACTTCCCACTAAATATGGTCACTAATATCGCTGCTGAGCATGTACAGGGTGCTGTATGAATAATGTCCGGAGATGGGAGCGACTGCACCGGGGGCTGATGTACCGCGGTACGTTGAATTGATAACTGTTCAATGGCACAAATTACTTTGCCGGCAAGCGTGAGATGGGGCATCGAGTCGCGACATGTGTCTACGATCGCAGGGCTCACCGAGCCGTTCGGCTGTGAGAAGTGAATGTTAGCAAACACCGCAGCCGCAATCTACCTGTCATGCGTGGATCGCAGGGCAAGACCAAGAGAACGCATGCCGTTCGGTTGTGAGAACTGAACGTTAGCCAGATACCACAACCGCAATGAATGAATCATGCCTGGACTGCAGGGCAATACCAACGGAGCGCAGGACGTTCGGTCGAAAACTGGACGTGAGCCAGACACACTGAACTTGTCATGCTTCGACAGATCGGTAGTCGGTCTTCACGCAGGTGAAAAAGCCAGTAAAATGGTTCCCTGAATAGGGGTTAGTGGGTCGCTGTGCTAGCAATTGAGAAAAACTGCCTGGCCGTATGTGATGACCGGTCGATGGGCACCGTATTGCTATCGCCACAAAAGTTGTTATCGCCTCATGCCTGGCTTCCAACAAACCGTAAGCTCTTATTAGGCTGCTTTCGTTGCTAAAGGGAATTATACTGCAGGGAGCACATTGTAAGGTTCCAGTGTTCGCTTTACCTTTTCGGTCGCGTATGTGTTACAGCTGAAATTTCACGCTTCATGGGTGCATAAAAACGAATTCTTGACTTCACTTGGCGTGACAATGCTCTTAGGTATCAGTCTGCCCCAATGCACTGTTGGCACAATTAGCACACCAAGTTAGTCATGAATGCGACTATTGCCACCGCAGCCAGATAATTACTAGTTGTACAAATTGATCAGGCCTTCGATGGCGGTTCTCGTTGAAAGTGGAGAATACACATACATTCATTTATTTCCTTATGTCTGCCTGAAATTCGTGAAATACGGCAGAATTTCAATGGCTGCAAAATAAACACGATTGTTCGGCTCGGAAAAACCCTTGGGCTGTACCTCCAATTGTCATCTCCATCAAGTCGATGCCATCTGGGCTGTCCACATTGCGACAGCACATAAATCAACCGTTGGTACAACCCGGAAGAAGCCTTCTTCCCCTTGTCGACTGTGTGAATGTTGGCATTACGTATTCTTTTGCGCTTACTGGAAACTGGTGCCCAAATGCAGCCGATACAGGCAGAGGAAAAATGATGCCGCAAAAATGGATGACCTGTTTCACGGAACAGTGCAGCGCAAGCGCCGTATATCCAAGAATCAGACAACCCCATGGAATTTCATCTTCGAAATATTCTGTTAGGTTCAGAGAACCCAATATCCAGCTTTTTCCCAGAGATCCAGTAGCCTAATTTCATTGGTCTATATGGTTATTGTTCTCGGACAATCTACTACTATTGTTTGTAGGTAAGAAATTAAGGTGCAAGGCCGTCAATCAGCGAATAAGTAGCGTTAATCTTTGCTGTATAATTGCTTGTATTTCGCTCCCATTAAACTCGTGATCGAAGGCTCGCATTCCTGATCACCCAGTCGGAGCGGTCGAGTTTAGCACAGTGGCAACAGTCTGGTCCGACCTAGGACACCACAACTCATTCTTATTCCATTATGTTTCCACACGCAATCCGTTGACTTGGAAATTAACTGCAAGCCGATCCGTCTCAAGCTCGACATTACTTCGGATAGTGCAGTTATTTCCACACGAAATTGTATATCGTTTGTCCGAACAGTTGCCCATCCAACTTCCCTCCGAGCCTGAAACGCCTCGACAATATGAAGCTCAGTGGAAATCTATGCTGTCGGGTAACTTTATGGAAGAACACATTCGTAGACATGCTAACTTACGGCCGGTCCACACTTCGGCTTATCGGTATTCGCGTGGGGCGGTGAACCGAAATTTAAAAAAATCATCAGGTGAAGCGGTACCAGCAACAACAAACTTTTGGTACCGTATCCTGATGTCAGGGCCATGAACATTATAGGCGGGCCACTGCGAAATATGCTACTCAAAATGTTCAGAAGAAAGGAACAGTCACAGAAGTATCGGGAAAGTTCCCGATTCCTCACTAAATATCAAGATCTCTCAGACCCCTGGAAGCTAGTCCTTGGTTGAGACCGTCATCGACTTCCGTCGTGCAGCCTTCGACTTTTTAGCGCTGTAACAAGAGAACGAATCTGATTAACGGAATTACGTTCGACAAGCGGCCTGGAGCCTACTTTGTGCCATATTCCATCGGTTAGACTGTCCCAGCGCGTGATCATCACAATCCCTCCATAACTTGCTGGACGGGACGGTTCAAGAATCAGCTGTGAAAATTCCAAGTCCAGGTTGGAATCGATATAAAGGCATAGTATACAAATGATCTGGCAGTTGCTAAGCACACCAGATTGCCAAAGAAGAACCGTTGCCGTCCGAAATTTTTCTCATGACTTCCAAAAGCCAACAAGAGCAAACTCACGCGGCATCCAAGACCGACTTACAGACCCTTTCGATGGTTCCGAATTCAAGGCGCTTGACGAACAGGGCGCACGTATGCCCACGGCTTTTTTGGATGACAGATGTTGCGTTTAGGGTATTCCTGTCTCGAACCCAAATTGAGTAATCGGTCAACGACGACGATTGATGCAGCTACACAGAGCAAGCTGTACTCGCTGCTTCTAACCAGTAATCAGTAATCAACGACAGTCAATAGCAGGAAGTTAACCACGAAGAAATTTGTTGATAAATATGTTCAGGCATGTACAATTATGAACTACATACTCATTGGAATAAGCTTTATCGTGGCTGCGGTTTGACGGATATGCTTTGATCACGTGGACTGGGAGATTTGGGTCTTACCATCTGTGGTAATTAATGCCAGTTTAAACCCATTTCCATCGATCAACATAACTGAAATCAACCGGTCAAGCTGCGTTCATGGTAGGGTTAAACATCGCATAAGTAAATGCGGTTTGCATAGTTCCGGCGAGGCCTTCAAACTTGACCTTGCTGTTCGATTCGTTTTGTTGGAAATTCTAACACACACACACACACTTGGCGTCATACCAACCATCTTTTACTCCGTTTTATCTGGCTACTATTGCTGTCATGTTGACCTGTAAACGCGATATTTTGAAGTTGTTATATGTTTCCTTGTTCACCAGCTGTACATTTTCCAACTGCCACCTTAAAACTAATAAATTGTAACGAATTCACAAGAAACTTAGTAATTGTGCAGATACACACCGTACTGAATAGAAGGTTGCTCTTCGAAAGAAATAGCTAGGAAACATAGCATGCTTATCTTACCTCAAACATCCGTTCCCTTTTAGAGAAACTGGACGAACAAGCATCATCAACTCCAGGGAATATTCGCAGCTAGGCATCCTTTCGCTACAAGAGACATGGCTTTACGAGCAGGTGCATGACGCACTTGGCACAAAAAATGGTACAAGGATTGAGGCATTTCTCTTATCCTGATGGGCTGCTCAAGTTGCAGATGTTTTCGCTAAACTAAAGGTTCCTTCGGGCAGACCTGATTCTTACGTACCGTATATTGACCGGCAAGATTGGGCCTGATCTAACTAGACTGATCCATCCAGCTCAGATACCATCTCTTCGTGGTCACTCTCTGAAGCTGCATAAGACCAGATATGATCGCGTTAGAGCTGACTTTCGTTTATCACGCAGGGTCATCGAATCATGGAACGCACTACCCAGCGAAGTAGTATTAGCACCAACGGTGAAGGAGTTTGAACATCGACTCGACGCCCCATCGGTTGTAGTTCCAGACCTTTCCGTTTGGTTCTTAACTTCTACATCCATTTCCTTAGCTTCTCATTTCCATTCTTATTATTGTCTTATCCACACTTTGTCTCCTGTAATACAATTATCATTATTCTGTTTTTGTTGATTCCCTTCTCTTAGCCTTTATTGTTATTCACGTGGTCGGTACAGTGGGGACTGCTAGTGCAGGCTACGTGGGTATTGATTGGTTGACCGTGATATGATTCGTGTGTATTGTTTTGGCTCTACTCGGTTTTAAATCGCTCCCGCGAACTCCATCCTCGTTCAACGACGCATTGAAGAAGGAACACACAGGAATTTTCCTACCGTTCCTGTGCAAATTGTACTTGAACTTGTATCAGTAGAAGGGTTCAAATGTCATTGGCATGATCTCCGTTGCACTGTCCGTAACCGTGGCGGTGGAGTCATGATCTTCAACAATACTTCCTGGTGTGTATCCACTAAAGTTTTGTTTTGCTTCTCTTCTCAATGCATTAGTTGCTTAGTTCTGAGGTTCAAGCTAAGATGCATCAGCGGGTACCGCTCAATCTCACTGGATAACATCTATATTTCCCCCAACTATCTGAAACAGACATTTGAAGATAAGTTTGCTGCGGCTGTATTAGAACACATTGATTGTTCTCTGCGTATTTTCTTGGTGATTTTTATCGTTTTGATATCACTTTTCTCTCAATTCTTGGAAAACAAAACATCGTAAATTGCCCCACTCACTCCGATGCGACTCTTGATCTAGGATTTGTTAACATCGTAAAGCTGTGTAATAGGGCGCACTTAAATAGCTTTGATCGTTCAACGATTAAACTGTCCTGTGATCTCATCTAAGACAAATCATAAGATGAATACTCGTTGCAACGACAGTAACTTTAGATGGGGGCAGTGTTCCGCGCAGAAATGTTATCCTTTACCGACTTCATCTTATGACACTGATGTATCCACGTTTTTCTATCAGTTGACAATTTACCTTTGTTTTGCCATTTACTGTCCACGTGAAACTCTGTTCATCCGTACGGACAGATTCTCTTCCCCTCGCCTAAAGTGGTTGTGTAGACACAACGCAAATTTTTTCAAAGACATTTTAGTAGACTCACTATCTGTTTTTCTAAGGGGGAAATTGCGCTGTCACAACAACATGCA